ATTATTAAAAATTATTTAAATACAATACAATAAGAAAAAATTTTATAATATAACACATATAAATTATAAAATATTATGAAACAACATAATCATTTATAAAAAAAAAAAAGTATCATGAATATATCTAATATTTTATTCATGTAGGAATAATAATATGAGTTATTATTCATAAGTCTTTAGTTGCACCTATGGAATATTTCACGCACCATTATTGACTTTTATATCACGTTTCATGTTACATATAAAAAGAATATATGGTCCTGTAATATCCATCTTGGAGTATTTAATCATTTAAATAAAAAAATGAAATCACAAATAAAAATAAATTATTTTTTTAAAAATGCAAAACATAATTATTTTCCTATATTTTTTTGCTTTTTATATGTTCTATATATTTTTATCAATATTATTTTCTTTCAATTCAATTGTTAATTATTTACCATTAGAGAGCAATTTTAAGAAATATTTTTGACCTAAATCTTTCATTAAATTGATGACTTGAATAGCGATTACCGAATTTTAAAATTAATATAATAATCGTAATGTCAAGATTCATGATTCAAAATATCTTTCAAATCATCTGGTAAGGTATGTGTGATGTCATTTATTCTTTCTTGAAGCTTTTCTCTTACAGAATTTCCTATAGGTACTTCATCAATATAAGTTTTTTCTAATTTCTGTCGAATTCTAAGAATCATATCTACTAATTCTACCTCTTGTTTTCCTTGTACCCAAGTTTTTAAATCCTATAAATAATGATAATAATTTACTTAAAAAATTAAAAAATAAATATAAAAATTTGAAGGAAAATAGAACAAAATTTCATATATTTATATAATTTATAATTTAACATACCGCTTGTGATAATGCCTCAAGTTGTATGACTTGTAACTTTTGTGATAATTCTGTGTATCTAGTATGAAACCAACCAGAAAAGTTAGGTGAACGAAAAAATCGTCGATACAATCCAACCCAATCTCCTTTTATACCAGTAGTTAATTGTGGTCCAGCGCTACTTAAAGTAGCTAAAAAATCATCTGGATTAAATAATTCAGGTATGGGTGTAGCCTAAAATAATTATAATTAATATATATTATTCAAATTTTTCAGAATATAAAACAAAACAAAAAAAAAAAAGATAATAATTACTTTAAAAGGTGATATGTCCTTTTGTAATGGCATAAGACTTGCAATATATCTTTCAAGAGGTATCATAAAACTTTCAGTCAATTCTATTAAGTGACGTTTTAAAAGAGCTGTTTGTGCTTCTCCTGGTCTTTTTGTTTGTATACCTCTAAATAATTTCTTCAATATAGTTTTGTCTTTCTGAAGGAAAGGTTTATATTGTGTATAAACTCCTGGTTTTGAATCTAATACTTTAAGATTCTCCGATTTTTTTATTTTGTATCTTTGATTCTCTAAAATATAATAAATTTATATACTCTATTCCTACATTATTTCATAAAACTCACCATTATTAATTCCATTACTTATTCTTATAATATGAGGCCAATGTTGAAGAGTTTTGGCAAAAAATGGATTAGTTACACCTAATATTACAGCAGGTGGTGATGGAGCATCTGTAGTATATTCTTTGAATTCAGAATCATGAATTGTAAAATAAGGTCGATGATCAGCACAATATTTTAATGGTGCAATCATTCTATAAAATATTAATTAAATTTTTATTTCTTTTCTTTTTGTAATTATTTTATAATCATTTTTAAAATATAATAAAATACTCACGCAACAAGTGCTTGAACCATTTCAGAACAACCAGTAGGTGAACTAGCCATAACAACAATTGGTTCACTAAGTAATACTAATTCCCATAATAAATGTACATAACTTACAACACTAGCTAAACTTCTAAACATATCTCCTTCATAGGCAGATGTTAAAATTAGTCTTCGTGTTGCATGAAAATTTGGCGCATGATCCATGGCAGCAATTGTAGGTGCAGTTGCTTTATAATTTTGATTTGGGATATAAGTCTAAAATGAATATCATCATATTTTCATAATGAATAAAATTAAATTATTGAAATTTTTCTACCTGAAATAAAACACCTATAAGTGGTAAATGCACTATTTGGCCAGGTGTTGGAGATGGCCATTGGTCAATTTCTCTTATAATAGCTTCCATCACTGTATTGCCCATTTCAAAAAATTCAGGTGCAATTAAAGCACATAATTCACCAAAGAGATTCACAAATGGCAGTTTTGTAATTATAACAATACTCTAATATATATAAATAAAATTATTAAAATTTAAAATTCTGCATTTATATCTTTATCTTATTATATATTATAAACCTTTTGAAAATATCCTCTTGGAAGAGATTTATCTTTTACTTGACGGAAATATACATAACCCCAATAATAATCTTTATCACATTGTAAAAATGGAGGAGATTTTCTATCATATTCTTTTAAGGCTTTAGTCTCTTGAAGTATAGCTCCATTTTGTCTTATTCTGACATGATATTGTGTATCTCCCATGCAACCAGAATTAGAGTCAGGAAAAGCAAGATAACAAATATTAGATCTTTCTTGTTCAGATAATTTGATATGAGATGGATATATAGCCTATAATAAAAAAAATACTATTAGAAATAATAAAATATTTATAGATTAAAAATATTATATTAAAAACTAAATATAAAATATGATAAGAATACCTCTATAGCTTGGCCTAATTCAAGATCAAAAGTAACAATGCATATACAATGTATCCAATTATGAAAACATTCCCATTTCCCATAAATCATTTCTTCTTTACTATTTATTTTATCCATCCTTTTAGTTTTTGAACAAGAGGCAACTGACATTTTAGGATTTGATTAATATAACCACATGCATATGATAAAGACCATGTCACTTGATATCTTGTTAAATAACAATTTTTAACAATTTTTATTCAACTTATAACTTAATGTATATAAAGCTATGTAATTCCTATAAAGGAATTTAAATATCTGAAAAATAATAAAATTATATTAAAATATATTTTATATCCTTTTTTAAAAAAATATGTAATATTATTATTACTATATTTTATAATATGTTAATTTAAAAACAAAAACTTACAGTTTTGTTATACATTCTGTAAATTTAAATTAAAATTTTCTTTTTGATAATTTTTTTTTAATTTTAATAATTTCATAATTATTTTTAACTTCCATATATATATATTTTTACCCTGTTTAATGATATTTAAAACATTTAATTCATTTTTAAACTATGTTTATTATCATTGAATATAGGACCAAAATGTCAGGGAAAAATATTAATTGAAGAATCAAAAAACTCAAAAACACGAGGGTTATTATGTACACTTATTTCATTATTATTTACTATTTACACACAATTGTTAAAATGACCACGTGTTTTTCATCTTGTGATAATAATAATCTGTCAAACATTTTAGTTGAGTTTTGAAAATAATGGCATAGAAAGGAAAATTTTTATGAATAATATTTACACCAGTACTTTTTTTCACTGAAAGTATCTGCGTATGTATGTATTCAATATTCTGTCTCGCTTTATTAGAGAAAGTCTTCATAATGCTCAGTGTCTATAACAATATTTCTATAACCTCTGAAACCTATCATATAAGTATTTTGAAAAATTTTATTTGAACACGTCAATCTTCTCAAATAACATCAGATCAAAAAATACTATATATATATATATACACATATATATATATGCATATAATATGTATATATATATATGTATATATATATATATATTGCAATCAGTGCAATTATACCTCGTACTTTGGTCACGAGAAATTTGCTTATTACTCTATTCTTCTAATATATACATATTAAGTCGTAGATATACTAATGTTTTATTAGCTTAAATCATGAATTTATTTATATACAAATTATAACATATATCGGACTTATTAATCATAGAATTTATTAAAAATATTAATAAATTTAAAAATATTAATAAAAATAAGCATAATTTTTATATACATATATTTCTGTATACATCATATTTTATTTTTATAAAAATATTAAAAAGATTTAATACTAAATACTAAAAAATTATATCTTTTATTATCATTCATTTTATACATATGTTTAATTTTTATATAATAAAAAATTTATATTTAATAAATTTAATTATTAATATATAATTTATATTATAAATAATTTTAATATATTTAAAGAGAAAGTATAAAATAAGATTATCATAAAAAATGTGCAAATAAAAATTTTAACATTCTATAATTCTATTTATACGAGATAAATTTCGTTTCGATATAGAATAAAATATAATTAGTTAAATCAATTAATTTTTGTATATTATTATATAAAATAAGTAATTTGTATAGATGTTCATATATTATTCTATACATAATTCTATTCTAAATGAATTGCACCGTTATATTATTTTATGTTGATTAAAATTTATGATTTAACATAATTGCAATAGACACATGTATATATGTATTTTTATATATCTACATATACATGTAGATTATATAAAAAATTCTTCATAATTGAATTTCATTAACATTTTCATAATAATTATAATATATAATAACAACAATTATAATATATAAATAAAAGCCATTAATAAATATGATGTAGTCGAATAAAAATAAATTTGTTCTATAATAACTTAGGTTATTATAAATTATAATTATTTTAATTTATTAATATATTTATATATTCTTTTTATTTTTCAATTTTAATTTATAATATATTCAGATATACTATATATATTATAAAAATTTAAAATCCATTATGATAAAATATAACATAAAAATATTTATTTTATTTGTTTATATTGCTTAATATATTAATCAAATTTTATTAAAAATTGAAGTTTTTATAATAAATAATGCTTTCTTTTTTAAATTACTCTTATTATTAAAAAATGATCAGTAAAGTTAGATATATATACATATATGTACTTATGTATAAACAGATCTATTATACTAACAATAGAGCAAATGGATACGCCCCTGAATGCACAATTGCGCGCGTGCTTAATCTTTGCGACTGTCATATTCTGTCAAGCTCGGTGAGCTTATGATCTTCAGTCATGCTAAATCTAATTGAAAAAACATAAATTTTAGGCATTAAGTATTATTTGGTGAAGTTCAGAGCTATTACAAAAAAAGTGGCTTGCAATCGTGATCAAACATGTATCGTATCTGTCCCGATCTCATAGCCGATACGGGTGTGTCTATACGCGTGTTCCAATACGTGACCAAGTATGTCAGTCAGTTGGTAAAAGTACGAGTTTGTTATAATCGTAGCAAACATTAAGTTATCGGTAAACAGAAATTTTTTAACGATGTCAGCTGGCATCCTGCAGGATAAGAGTGTAGCCTTGAACGGCAAGAATGATGTACCGGTAGTCTCACAACCTACTACTAGGTGTGGAGTTAGAGTTTACAAAATTGTTATTTTGGGTGATGGTGGTGTTGGTAAATCAGGTAATATAATTTATATTATATCATTTATTTAGAAAAGAAAAATATATTATATTATATGTATATTACAGAAATGATTTTTTCAGCGGTCACATTACAATTTGTCAGTCATAGCTTTCTTGATTATCATGATCCAACCATAGGTAAGAATTTGTTTCATATATTGCAATAATAATAGAAATGTTTAAAAATATTTATGAAATTATTTTCTTAATACTTTTTAGTTTTTGGAGTAATATGTCATTTAATGTTTTTTTATTATTGACAGAGGATTCATATCAACAACAAGCAGTTATTGATGGTGAAGCTGCACTTTTAGATATATTGGATACAGCAGGACAGGTTAGAATCTTATTGATTTAAGAAAAAAAATGATGATTTTATAAAAAATCATATTAATCATATATTATAATTTTATATATATATATTTTATATATAGGTGGAATTTACAGCTATGCGTGACCAATACATGAGATGTGGAGAAGGTTTTATGATATGTTACTCTGTAACTGATAGACATAGTTTTCAGGAAGCTTTGGAATATCGAAAATTAATAACACGTGTGAGAGCTAATGAAGATATACCATTGGTATTGGTTGGCAATAAATTTGATTTACAACATCAACGAAAGGTAAGTTATTAGTTTTTTATTTATATTAGTTTTTATCTTAGCTAGAATTCATTGATTTTTTTAATGTAATAAACATTAATATTAATGTAATAAACATTTTTAATGTAATAAACAACATAGGTAACTACAGAAGAAGGAAAAGCACTTGCTGAGCAACTTGGTTGTCCCTTTTATGAAACATCTGCAGCTCTTAGACAATTCATAGATGATGCATTTTATTCATTAGTCAGACAAATTCGAGCTAAAGAGAGATCAAGAAATTCAGTACGTAAACATAGTCGTTGGTGGCGACTTCGTTCTATACTTGCCTTTATTTTTAGGAGAAAACAAAGGCATGTTAACAATCATCATTACTCTCCTTAAATTGAACTATTTTAATAAATATCTTTTTGATAGCGTTTATCTTAAATTAACAAAACGTGGCATAAATAGTTTAAAGTTTTACAAATACACAACGAACAAAATTTTTTATGATTCATTTAGATTTCATAATAGTCTTTTAATCTAAGGATTGATTCTATAACATCTCACTGCCTTATCTTTAACCCCATTATATTTTCAATGTAGTAATGGAGACATGAAATATAGACTATAATTCATCATTTTTATTATAAATATTATTATAAATATTGCAATAATATCTTTTATTAAATTTAATTATTTTTAATATTTAAAAAAGTATAAAATGAAATATAAGTAATAAGAATATTATATTTTACGAAAAATTTTTAGTATAAAATTAATAAAGTATCTATAATTCTGTCTCCAATTTCTTCATTATTATTTATTAGAAAAATTTTTAATATTCTTTAAAATGTGTTATTATTAAAAACAATAATTAATTTATTATAATTCAATATCTAACCTACCTTAAAAGTATTCTACTTTTGTTTTCTTAAATTAATGTAATTATAATAATCATTTTTCTTTGATTTAAATTCTAATTACTAATTTACAATTTATTTAATATGACCAAAGAATTTAATATTTCATGTTAAAACAAAATGAAATATTAAATAAAGATCTTGTAAATGCAGAATATACTGTACATGTGAGATGAATGAAAAGCTTTATAATGCTAAATAATTGTTGAATTAATGAATTAGAATATTAATAAGTAAAATTTATTTATACTAATTTAAATTTTGCAAAAATAGAAATTATGAATTATTTTATATTGAATTACATTATTACAAAGAGAGAATATACGAAAGTTATATAATAATTTGTAAAGTTTAAACATGTTATATATTTAAAATTTGCATAAAGTTTCCAATCAAAAAAGAATATATAAATATATTTTTATGTTTAAAAATTAAAGAAATAATACTAACATGCATTATAAATCTATAAATTTTATGTTTATAAATTATTAATACTTTTAAAACGGCTCCTAAGAAATTTTTAAAATTATACATCTAATAGATTCTATTTTTGTGTCTTAATATTTATTAATTTTTGAAGTTTTTAATTTATGCAGCTTGAGAATACGTGATTTTTTTTTTTTAGAATATGTATATCATAGATCGATTAAATAATTAATAGAATATACTTTATATAGTTTATATAGTTGCCAGATAATAGAACAAAACTATAATGGCAAAAGTCAGTACATAAAAATGTTATTAAATGTAAGTTTATATACTAAATGTCTAGTCGTTACTTAATGTTTCCTAGTCAAGTTTTGCATTTTGTTAAACATGCAATAATTTACAGTTCACAGATGCAATTATGAATTTTGATTACATATAGTTTAATGTGATCATTTATATTTATCATATCTTCGAAATATTTATACATGTTGGTATTATATTTGTTACAACATTTTATAAACAGTTTACTAATAAAAAAAATCTGAATATTAATATTTAATCTATTTTAATAGTTAACATAGTAATTTTGATTTTTATTTTATAGTAATAAGTACAAAGTATTATTGTCAAAGCTGATAATCAATTATCAATATATCAATAATAATTTTGTCCTAATACAGTAGAAAGTATTAATAAATAAAAATTAATACATAGCGATTCAAAATACAATATGGAATTTATGTATATATGAAACATGTAAAATGTGTTTAATCTTCTTTTATTATTTTTCAAAATAATAATAAGAGATTGTATGTAATTCTATGTAATATATTATTTCTTTTTATATTTAAACTAGGTATATCTATATACATATGAAAATGAAATTTTTAAAATTAACAACGATGGAAAACAATTTATATATTCATTCATCGTTCATGCAATATATTACATATAAATTAAATAAATAAATGTTAATTAAAAAATACAAAAGAAACACATTTTACAATGACAATACAATAAAATAATTAAATGAAATGTAAATTTATGATGTACTGACAAAAAAATTTAAATAGAAAAAAAATTTTTAAAAACGCACATATGATACGCGTGCTCATTTTAAAATTGAGCAATAAATTTGATATAATTGAAATAAAATACTGAAGTAATTGAAATAATATGTATGAATTGTAATTTTAACAAACTAATTGGAGATATTAAAAAATTGTAATTGTAATCTAAAATATATAATTTTACTATAATAATTGATATTACGTAATATAATTTGCATAGATACTTTCAATTTTCATATTTTACACGAAAATTAAATAAATACAAAGTAGGATATTAAAAACATTTATTTTATTTATTTACATTCAATTTGATAAAAAAATTTAATAACAATATAAAGAATGAACAAAATTAAAAATTTATATATATAATATTCTATAATAATTGGAATAAATTAATATTTATATAATCTTAGAAATCCTTTCCTATTTTGTTAAAAAATATATATTTTGTTTTTTATAAGTGCACTATAAAAGATTGCAAATTATTTTCAAATTTCTATTATTACTTATAAATTAATGATTATAACTATACAAAAGATTCAAAACATTTCTTGTTTTGAAAATATTTATAATTTAATTATATTTAATAAATGATCGACATATTTTTTATTCATTGTATGAAATATTTTTTAATTATTCATTATCAGTCTCCATTGAGTCTTCCATTTGATGTATGTTGATCTCTCCCACTTTCTATTACATTGCTATCTGTTCCTCTATTTCCTGTTTTACTAATTTCTATATAAAAAAAATTGCAATAAAAATAAAATAATTTAAATTTTTTATTATTTAAATTTATTATTATAATTATTATAATTAAATTTATTATTATAAAAAACAAATTGCATATATTGTACATTTATTAAAAATTTTTTACTTTGTTGCATGATAAATGATAAGAAATAAGTTATAATGATAATATGTAATATGATTAAATTATAATAAATACTTACCAGGATCTGGATTATCATCCATATCTCCATTTGAATCATTATTCTTTTGGATTTTTGAGTTTATCTGAACTGAAAAAAAGTCATATAAACTATTACTATTCTAATATAAAATAATAAAAAACATTTATGAGAATTTGTAATATCCATATATTCTACAAAATGTTATTTGCTAGTATATAACATTTTAATAATTTTTGCATTAGTGAGCCCTCTCCAATTAGTTTATATATGTATATATGTTATATTATATTACATTATAAATATATATATATATATATATATATATATTAATTATTTATAATATATATTAAATCTAAATAATAAATTAAAGTATTTTATAATATATTTCAAATAAATAATGTAAAATGATATAATTTTTATTTTTTAATATAATAATGTAAATACATAGAATAAAATAAAATTTAAGATCAAATATTATAAATAATTTTTCTCTATAATTTTTAATAATTTGTATTATAAATAAAAATGATACTACAATTATAATCTATAATTTTTTTATTGTTGGTATTCAATTTAATATCTTTACTTTAAAATATAACATACTTCTATAATACATGAAAATTTATTTTTTCATTCACATCTTAAATCATTCTACATATTAAGTAGATAAGCAGTGTAAGTATTTATTAGAAAGCCTTATCAAATTCATTTAAATAGAAGCCTAATGGTATAATAAATGCATCAAAAATACAATGTTTTATGTACAGAATTTCTGAATAAGTGCTGTTTTATTTTTGTGATAGATTTCTTTTCTCCTGAGACAGAAGAAACATATCACTACCTTTCGGCATTGTAACAGAGAAGCGAGGTTTTAGGCGCACAGCGCCAGGTGGATCTTTTGGAAGAATTGGAATTCCATGGTATTTCAAACCACGTTGACCAGCTAAAGATATTCTTACAGCTGATTCCGGAACAGGATCCAACTGAATCTTGTTAATTACTTCTCTTGTAGCTAAATTGGCAAAATGCCAAAATATCATAAAATACTAAGTCAATTGATAATATGCAGAAATTAAACAAAATGGAAATTGTATTAATATTTCTATTGATTTTATAAATATGTTAAAACAATTCAAAGAATTATTATTAGAAAAACTGCTTAAGGAGATGTAAATGAAAAATAATTCTTTTGTAATTTTAAAAAAGTATCAAAATAAATCATTTAAATTATATACATTTCAAATTATTTTAATTTTATTAATTTTATATGTTATCAAACATATAAAAATGTATAAAATAGGTCAAAATTTAATGAAACATATAAAATACTTACTTTGTGGAATAAATACAGTTTTTTTTTGAGTAGTTAGATTACATGTAGATTTAATTTTATCAAGATCATTTTTCAACTAAAAAAATTTTAATAATTATATATATTTATAATTTATTTATTAAGATATAAAATTTCAAAATTATTTATAATTAATATTATACCTGTTCTATTTCCTCCTGTAGTTTTTTATTTTTTTCTCGTGTTGAATTTAATTCTATATTAAAATTATTTTTTTCCTGCCTTGTCTCCAAAGTGGCAGTTTTAGTAATATTTAACTTCAATAAATCTAAATCATTTTTGTATCTATTAACAGAATCTTCCAATTTATCGTTTTTTTCCTTTAAATCTGCTTGTTGTTCCAAACGTACATGAAGTGATGCTACTTCATCTTCTGCATGCTTATATCTTTGTTCTAAATTTCCACGTAATGTAACACATTGATCTCTTTCTTCAGCACTAAAACATAATATTGATATGAATATTAACATAGTATAACCACCATAATATATATATAATATATTAGATTGCTGTCAATTATTAAATCAGTTTTTTAAGAATTTCAAACTTCAAGATGTAGAATTTATTACGAATTATATAGTGTGACTATATTTTTTATAAATAAGTAACTTTTAAAAATAATGACGGATGATGTAATAAAATATGTAATAAACTAATTTATATAAATATAAAATTATTTTAATTATCTTATAACAATACCTAATTTTAAGTTGTTCATTCAACTCGTCAATCTGTCTAACTAATTCGATATTTTCAGAAGATAAAGTCCACCAGTTGCAAATGAGCATTAAACAAGCAACGAGAAGTCCTCCAACGAGGAGAGGAGGACATCGGCCTCCTCCGACTCTCATACTGTCAATTCCCATTCCTTATTTATTATATTTTATTTAACAAATATACATGTGCGTTGAAAATTTGCACGTGTATAAAAAATTAATCACTATATATCAATCGTATTTTAGAGATGAAGAAATAGATAGCCTTATCAAGTGTCACAATTCATTACTTACAATTAATTCAAAGCAATTAAAATAATAGCACGTTTCGAACTTTTTATTTTGATAAGACTTTTTTTTTAAATTTTCATAAAATTTTCATAAAAGCAAATACACTTAATGTGTTGTGGGCGTATCTAGTATACACTACCGGTATTGACAATGGTATGTATGCATTTTATCACAAAAAATATTAAATCAAATTATATTTTAATCTGTCGTGATTTTTAACACATATCGAACAACTTCGTTTATTTGTTGGCAATCATAACATGACATCAATGTTAAAACGATTTAAAATCAATTCGGTATATATTCATTATACTGAAATAAATGGTAACTGAACAACTGGTGACGGCTAACTATGCAATCACAAATATATATCATATGCATACATACATATATATATATGTAGGTGCTCGTATTTTTCATACGTAGAACATATTTATTAATAATAGAAATTCTTATCTAAATACATATGTATATATAATGATAATAAATGAAATCGAATTCGATTTTTATATTTTATATCTACATATTTCTATTACAAACTTATATATAAATATATTTACATACATATATTTTTTTATATTTAATATATTTTATATATTTTTATATTTTTATTTTAAATAAAATTAAAATTATATCTTAAATACACAAATAATAAACATGGATAAGATAGAGATCAATGCAATGAAGGATAAAAATAGAATAAAAATTATGATATCAGCGCCATCTCCGGAATAAATGAAATAAAAAAAAAATAGAGATAGATTAAAAATTAATAACACCATCTCTTGATATTTTGTTTTTAAAAAGATATTTTAAAAGTATTCAAGAGATGGCACTAATACTCAATTTTTATTCTATCTTATTCTGGCTTTAAAAAGATATCTTTAATATTCGGGAGATAGCGCTAATTCTCAATTCTTATTCTATTTCTATCTTTTTTTCATTATTCGCACTTTTTATCTTTCTTCATTTAAAGTACTTTAAAAATAATACTGATTTTTTAATTTTTAGTTTACTTATCTTTTCTCATTATTTGCTTTTTTTATTTATATTTATTCTTGGAATGTGACTACAAGAATATTACACTGAAAATCTAACAATGCGATATATATTGTTCTTAAAGTTACTTTTATTAAGAATAAAATAAGAATGCCATCTATCAAACAAAGAGTTAATAAATATATATTTATTAAGAATTATTCAAAAATGCAAATATTTAAAAAAGTAGAAAATAATTTTACAAAGAATTACATTAAAAAATAAAATAAATTATCTTCCAAAATCCTTATATTATCTCATACTAATTTGATATTAAAAAAAAAATAGATAATAGTCCGATAGATATATTTTTATATTATACTCGCAATAAAATTAAACAGTAAATACTTTTAAATGTGTTAGAAAAATTATACAATATTTTATCACATTTCAATATTTTTCGTATCATTTTGTCGATATTTATAAAAGATAATAAATCATCAGATATACATATATATATATTTAAAAATGAGAAAATATTGATATTATATATTTTAATATTGCCACTAACAGGAATATTAATTTTATGATTCAATATAATTTTTAGTATTATGATTAAAATTAAAAAATTAAAAAACAAACATTACATATATTTTATAGAAATACGTAAATTATATTATCGTTATCTTTGTGCCAAAGGCGCACAATTCGACAACTTATGAAAGTTTGTATTTTAAATGTATAAAAAGATAATTATCGAGATCATAATTTCTGAGATATCAATATTTATTTTACAGTTCAATTTGACTAATAAAATATGGTTTTATTATTATGAAATCTATCATTAGAAGCCAAGTATAATAAAAAAATTTTATTCTATATTCTTATTCGAACAAAAAACACATTCGTGTTTCTAGTATAAAGTCACAATATATTTTTTCAAATATAAAAAAATTATATGGAAAAACAGTTATTAAAAAAATATATTATTTTATTATATTTTTTATAAGGCAATTACAATATTATCGAACTTGATATACAATTTGTACATTTCCTACTTCTTCAAGTGTTTCAGCATCAGTATTGCGAATCGTTAAGACCAGTAAATTATATATTATTATTTATTAGAGGTAGATATGTACATAAATAAATTTATCTAAATCTAATATTATATATGTATATATATTACTACACACGATTACTATTGGTGTATTATTGATTGATATTTTAATTCATTGTATATGCTTTTAAATGTTGTACTGCACTTTGAAATTACATTCTATATTTTCTGTTGGTATATTTGTACTTAGTTTAGGATTTAGAATTTATGCAATATAGTGAAATAAAGATACGAACAGCACCTTACATTCGATATCACAGCTTAATACATTTTATATTATTTTTAATAATTTTGTTATTGGTATCGCATTTTTTTGGTATTTTAAATTTAAACACAATATTGATAATTTTTAATTTCTAATTAATGTTTTAAATTTTGAATATTAAATATTTCAAGTTTCCAATTATTATTATTTTATATTCCTGCATATCGATTTGCGATTTACAATTTATTTATTTTCTAAATTTTATGATATAATTTATAGCTTATTCCTTTTATTATTATTTTTTCTTATGTTGAATGCATTCCTATTATATATATATAAAGTGCATCTTGAACTATAGTCTTTAATCATGTTCAATCCTGATAATAAATTCGTTATTTTTCTAATTTCGTGTTTGTTTTTTTTTGTTTGTTTCATAACATTAAACACATTCCACAAGTATCATCAAATTATTAAAATGTCAATATTTTCAATATATACATTTAAATATTTGAATATCTGGGAATGTATATTATTTAAAAATAGACGCTATTTTTCTTTCGTAGATGCTGTTGCAATTAACGTTGTTTGTTCTCTTTGATACCTAAAAAAAAAACATAATTTAATTAAATATATGAAATACAATAAAAAATAGATTAGTTAAATTTTTTGTAATAATATGGTTCTTATACATATAATTTATTTATCTCAAAACAGAGAAATTCATACATTATGTATTTTTATTATTATTCATACATATTCGCAATAAATGTAATATATTAGGTATAAAAAAATCATTATTTTTCATGATATATAAAATATATATTTTTCATGATATATATTATTTCTTATTGTTTCGATATGATATGATTTGATACAATTTAAAATAATGTTGTTGTATAATATTTAAAAAGTGGACTTACATTATTCCTCGACTAACTTGATACAAAGCTGTTAGCGCGACAAAAAGATTTACGCTAAAAAGACTCCAGTTTTTTGGAGTGATCGCTAAAGAATATCTGGTCCAGATTAAGCCAGTAATGCCTAAGGCAGTTGATTGACTAATGGAAATTTGACTTGCTGGCCTCTGCAGATCACCGAGGCCAGCTATTACAAGTCCCTGTAATTTGTAAACTTCGATTTTTAAACTATTAAAATAGATTTAAATTATAAAAAAAAAATAAGAGATGAATAATCAAGCAAATGTAAGATGTATTCAGACAATTTATTTTAAAAAAGTGACCTATATTTAGGTAGATTAACTGCAATTTGTTGTAAGATGCATGCGCACGATACTTCATAAATTTTTTTATATATAAAATTTACAATTTTTTAAATTATAAACATCTGACATTTACACGAAATAATTTTTTTTTATTCCTTTTTAGAAAATATATTGATAATATATTATTGATTTTATATAGCATTATGGAAATACAGAATCATTACGAAATAATTAAAAGTCATAGTAATGATGTGTATCATTTTTTTTATAATATATATAATTATTATAATATATGAAAATATATTTAAATCAAATCTATATAGATATATTGTAATCAACAAATAATTTTTAAATATTTGTAAATTCAATGATAAAATAAAGCATTAATTATTTTAAAATAATACGTTAAAATATATTAAACATAATTAAACATATTAAATAATAATGTTTAACGAGATGTTAAAACTTCAAAGTTACTGACCCATTTAAAAGCTGGTGCCCAGAAGAATATAGTCTGCGGACCTGAAAGGGGAAAATACGTCGATACTACTGTTACATATTTCTTATAATAGTTGCAATACATATTATCAATAGAAAATTTAAAAAGGAGTAGAATAAAAATAATTCGTAATATAACGATAATGATTATGATTATGTTTTCGAATTTACGTGATCATGTTTCGTAATATATGCATATTACTCAATCATATTTCAACAAGTTTCAAATTCCAATTACAAAAACTTAATCTACGACAATCTTTAAACCATTTATTTAGTGATATTGATATATTATTTTTAATTTTCTCTTTGATATTATAAAAAATGATATTATAAAAACTTATAAGGAATATAAAAAAAAAATGCATAAAAATTTAGTAATCTTAATATATAGAGCAGCGTATCATAGTATGATATGATTTACATGCGTTAATAACGGTCAAGTCTATCTGAATTTACATTTATAAAATGTAAGAAATGTTTAAAGTTTATATAATATTACATGTATTTTTTATCTGCCCAGTCAAATGTAAGCAGTAGAATGACAGAAGCACATATGTCTACGCACGTGTTACTATTTGAAAAATCATCGATAACTTACTAACCAGCTGGATGATTCCACAGTGGTTGAAATTTCTGAGGTACAAACTTGCCAATCGAGTTCATTGTATTTTTATATATAACCGACATTGTGTTTTTTTATGTGTTCACACTTTTCACAAAATTGTTACTAAAAATTATTCAAAGAAAAAAAAATTAAAAAATTAATTATTTGAAGATCACAAAACGGGTGACATAAAAATGACAAGTAGTAAGACGATCCGCACACTGAGACTGAATATCGTGAAGTGCAATGATTGGTAGTTGCGCTACTGGTATGAGTCGTCCACACTTTCCTCACCCCGCTCACATTTCCGGGACCTAAAGTGTTGTGATATACTTTGTATATATTGTATATTTGTGTATGTCATTATATTCGCATACTCTTGCAAATAATTTAGAATTTTATCAAATATTCTTTTTGATCAATTGATATGATATATAGTGATATATAATAGTGATAAAATAATTAACATGCGATTATTAGCACATGGAAGTACCTTTCAAAAATTATCGATTCGAATCGATACTCAAATCATAATATATTATCATAAAACATTTTTAACTACTTTTGATTATATCTATTAAAGTAAAAGTAATATTATGATCTATAATTTAAATTAATTTTTCATTTTAAATCATATAATACTATTTACTTTATTATTTAATTAAATTTAATGAGTGGTTATGTTTTCAATACGATTTCAATTACTGACTTGTATATTTAGACATAAGATTACAATTCATCATTAAAATATTATATTATTTTAATTATACTCAATAATTATTAATATATTAATTTATTATTGTTAATTATTGATAATAACTATTAGTAATTATTGAGATGTAATGAATTATCATTTAAGATTATTATTAGATAAATATTTTTAAACAAATAATTATCAGTTATTAAAAAAAATTGTATGTATATTTTGGTATTTTAAAATGTAAAATTTGAATTAATAGTAAAAAAAATTTTAACCTACAATAATATAATTAATCTCTGAATTTTACAGACAATTTCCTATTAAAACATGTACATAACATAGTAATCGACATTGGCCTAGAGTATAAAATTAAATGCTCTGTGGAGTGCCAAGTCGTACATTGCATGGTCATTCTCTTCTAAAAATATGTATACTAACCACGTGTACTTGCAATTTTACGCGAAACGCAATTGCTATTCCGCGTTTTATCCATTGATTTCGAAAAAAAGAAATAAAAATATATATATTTACAAAATTTTATTTATATTACAATGTATATAATTTTTATAACATCGTAAAATACAAAAAATGTTTTAAAAAATTGAGTTTCTTAACGAGAAAATGCAAACTTCGTTTTGACTGATAAAATATTATCACTCGTGAGCTTTATTGTTTACATTTTCCATAAATTGCACCACAATTAAGACGAATACATTAGTCACATGTATTCTTATATCACAAAATAATTGATAAACATTTCGACATATATATAACTATATATGTAGTATCAGAATACATGAAATTTTTCAATATATATTCTATCTAATTTGTGCAAAGTTGTTGTACTTAGAAACGTTTAGGATTTTTTTTTATATTATTGTTTTGTTGTCTATATCTGAAGTAATCTCATTGGAACATTTATAGCAATATTACAATCATATGAAATTAAATAGATTCGTCAAAATTAAAGAAATTGTAGCACTGAGATAAAACATATAACATAAGAACTATGATTTTATGCATCAATTAAAGTACAATTTAATTTATTATTTTTTATATTTGGTATATAAAATAAATGCATAACTTAAATATCTTATTTAAAAGGCATGTGCCATAAATTGATAATTAACATATAATTTAAATATGTTAAAAATTCAATACAAATATATACTTTTTTTCAAGTATGTTGTCATGTTGTACATTTAAGGCACATAGTATAAAATATATAACAATAAAAAATATTGATTTCAGTTCAGTAAATGAGAGTCAAAGATATGGAAAATTTCTGTAATTTATAAAATATTAACAATTATTGCAATGTTTTAACATGATTAAGTAAAGTTTCAATCAAATTTTAAAATTTATTTTATTATTTAATTAAATTATAATTTATTTGATTTTATGATATTATTATGATCAATTTTATTTATTTTAAAAATTTATTTTTTAATTAATAATAAATATTATTTAATACAAACTCAAATCAAATTCTCTTCCATATCAATAACTTACATTTTTAATATTTTGCATTTTTAATATTATTTTTAAATAATACAAAATACAAAAAAATATAACATAATCAATTTTTTAATTATAAAATTTTTAGGTTCGTTATATAATTTAGATATTTTTCTCTCTCTCTTTTATTTTTTTTATTTTATTTCAATAAAATTTCTAATTGTTAAAAGTATTTAATTTTTTTTTAATTTTGCTAATCTCTGCGATAAAATACAATTACTTATATTTACAAAAATGTGTATAATACTAAAATATATTTTATATTAATATTAAATAATACTTATGTATAAAGTATATATTGATATATGTATATATCTTATATTATAATGATATATAATTATATAAAATATGTAAAAAAGAGCATTTGTACAAAAAAATAACTAGAAAAAAATAAGTAGAAAGTTTACAAACTACATTCAGCAACTTGTATCACTTAAAGAATAATTCTAAAAAATACGAATGCTTTGAATTATAAGAATAAAAATTTATCTAAAAATTATATTATGTATAAATTTGTTATAAAAAATGCAGTAAAAATTGGAATTATGGTTTTCTTCTATGAATAAGAGATCTTATAATTTTTTCATAAATGCAAATGGCAGTAATATTAAAATATTAAGAAGTTTATGCTTTTCAATATAGTTTTGAGCATTAGTCAATTAAATTAAATGAAATTTTACTCATATTTAGCATAATCAGCATAATCATTAGAATTCTTAAATTTTATTTTCTTATATTCTATTTTGTTGTAGTCATCTACTATCAAAACTCAATATAACATAGAGCTAATAATGAATTTATATGCAAATTTTTTAAAACAAGATTCTTTTTCAAAAGGTTATATATAAAAATTATAAATTGAATTATAAAAATATTTGTTATTAATCATATCCACATAATGTAAAAGTACTGATTGATCCATATATATCAACTGTAACATACTTAGTGAAATCGGTAGATACGCATATTTTAGCAAAAAAATTTGAAGGTAATTCAACAATAGCTAGTATTCCTGGCTGTTTAGGATCTTTACCCTCTTTAGATTTCCAAAACTTAGTTAGTTTATCTACATCATTCTTTGTATTTTTATCTTGTAGCTGGTTTGTTTGTAAATGGCAAATATACGAATCTATACTTTGACTAGTAGATATATGTGAGAAATCATTAGTTATTTTACTAACAGAAGGAGAACTAAAACTGTGACTCAGTACGGTTCTTTTCTCCGATTTTGGTTTACGTATGTGTAGAATTAAAGTAATATTCCACCAAATTAATTCATCAGAACTTACAGAAAGCAAAATTGGAATTTCAATCATAGAGGGAGCCCAATGTAATTGAGTAACTGGACTTGTATGAAAGTTCAATTTTCGTATTTCTTCGAATGTAAATGTATCAATAATCTGGAAATTATTAATATTATAATTATTAATATTTCTTATGTAGATATTAAAATAATTTATAATGAAAACTTACAGAAATGTTTCCATTTTCAAAACCTATGGCTAAATACTTTTCGTTTTGTGAAATTTCACAACATGTTAATTTATGATTATATGTTAGCCTAGAACATTCTATTATCTTAATATATGCTGGATTTAATATTATATCTTTCTGTAATTTATACAAAACCACATCTCTATTTTCATTTAATACAGCTAAAAAATTCTTTTGGTAGCTTAAACAACTAAAGATTATATCTGAACTTCCGTTCACTCTATCCGTTTGTAACCAATTCATATTTTTGATATTCCAAATTGTTATTATACCATTTCGAGTTATTGTTACTAAACATTCTTGATCAATTATATGAATTGCAATAACGTAACCTGTATTCGGAATTATATATTTTAATTTTATGTTTTCCCACACCTATAATAAAATAAAAATAAAAAATCAATTAAAATAATCAATTTCCTTCAATTTTTTTATATAATATATTGCCATGCGTTACCTGTAAATCTTTATCATCTGTCCCTCTACAAACGAGAATACCATTGTTAATTATATCCTTTTTTATATCTAATACTGTGATTAATTCCACATTAGATGAAAAGTTTAATAAACGAATATTTTCTTTACTTCTTGTATCAAACATATTAATCATACCTTTATCAGTAACATAAATTACTTTATCTGCATAAAGAATTAAATTATTTATTTTTCCATCAATTTGTTCAGTTTCTGCTATTTTATCATCACCAATTAATGTAATAATAGTATTTGAACGCGTTTCCATAACAATAGTATTCGAAGTATTGCCAAAATTCTGTACTTTTGCATCAAATAAAGGTTTTTTTATTGATGTACCAGTTCCTTCTACTGGAAATTTCCATTTATGAAGTAATCGATTCTCACTTCCACATATAATATGATATCCTTCATCTTTTAACCAATATGTGTCCAAAGAAGAAACACGACTTTTATAAGTAGTTATTGGATGAACTCCAATGTTTATATTCCATACATTTATAAAACCGCTAGAATCAGCTAAAACTATATACTGACCATCATCAGTCATACTGGCACAAACATAAACGGTTTTTTCATTTTCAACACTTGCTCTTACTTGTTTATTATAACTATGCATATGATTATTACTTGATCTAAACCATTTCACATATATAGCTTTTTTTTGAGTAACAATAAATAAAGAATTATTTTGTAGTGGCACACTGCAGAAGAAGATAATTTTCTTCTTTTTCAAATCTAAATTGTATGTTGATATATATTCATATTTATTACCATATTTACAATATGATATTATAACACCATGTATTTCATCCATTATATGAAGTAAAGAAGTAATATTATTTTCCAATGTAAATGCTATATTTTTAAGAGAACTGTAAAAATTAATAATATTTTAATTTTTTCAATTATCAATATGTAAACATTATCAATTATATTTACCTCTGAGGATTATGACCGTGATTTGATAATATATTTCCATGACAATCCCAAATCTAAAAAAAAAATTATTATTTTAATTCAATGAAAATTTATTAACATAAGTTTCT